TAGGGCCTAGTCGACTTGCGGCTAATCCTAGAGTTTGTGGTTTACCCCTGCGACCTGTAGGATCGCTGTAAGCACCCCCGCGACCGCCTTAATTGCACTAAATTGATCTAAATCATGATTTACTTTTTGGTTTTCATTTACACATTTTGCGTAGATCTTTAAAGATGCAATTTTTGATTTGGAGTTGCCATTTTGATATTTTTTCCTTTCTTCCGACAAATGTTGAATATATTGTGTAACCTATAATAAGTATTAAATTTCTAAATGCTATATCACTTTTCATGAAATGAAAACCCAGAATAAAATGTTTCCAGAGTATTTTACATTTCAATATTTTTTCCACATCCTTCCATAGTGCTTCTACTTGCTTACATTCAAAAATAAGATGTTTTGCATTTTGAATTATATTAAATTTTGAACAATTTTGGTTAATATTAGAGTTCCATCTACATATCTCACTTCCACATGCAAAAATGTTGTGAAATAATTTAAAGTTGAATTCAGCATACTTTTTGTATTTCATGTTTGTCATTTCAAAGAATATATTTTATCATAAAACGTTTTATCATGAGGAATACTAAAAATATTACTCCAATGTTTTTCTAAAACATTTCGTTCTTGTTTACTTTTTATCAATATATCATATAGCATATTTGTTTTCATCTCTTCTAATTTAATCCATTTATTATTTCCTAAAAGGAAAGTTTTCCTGTATTTTATGTTTGTGACCAGCCCTGCATGAGAACAACAGAACACATTCCAATTATAAAATTAGCATGACGCAATGGGGCACAATATGACTGTACACGAAACCAATACCAGACAAAAACACTTAAAGAAAACCGACTGTCAAACTAAGTGACACAACACAATCAGGCACAACCAATAAAAACAACCAATCTAAAATACCAATATGCACAACAAATTCTCATCCAACTTGAGATAACACTAGTCACACAGATGGACACAGCCAAATACCTCACCGGACTGGGCACAACCTACTACCCGACCAATGTAATACATTCACAACACAACATTATAAAACTTACGTAACCCAATGCGCCAAAACACATTACAACCAGATTCAACTAGACAAAGAACCACAATTCCGACTGCGCTGTCAAACTGCTACAACACAATCGAGCACAACCCAATCATAAACCAATCCAACACAGTCAACAAGATTAAACTCAACTCAACCTATCATTTAACTAATTCATTTAGGCACTACCTGCAAAAAACCTACCATAACACAACCAGGCTTAACCAAATACTCAATTAATTAAACTCGATTAAATCAAACAATCAAAACACAATCAGGCACAACCTATGAAACGGTGATATCAGTATATCCAACTAAGCTTCTCTAAATAGAGACAACAATCAACCGGGCAACCACACAACACAATCGTGGACCACCCGATACATACTCCTCCAACGGAACGTTTTAGAAGTACAGATTCTAACCGTTTTTTGAAGTCCTTTAACAAGTAAGGTCGTCTGAACTATTTGTTCGTTAATATGTTCATTTTCTTAAATATATTAGTTATGATCACTCAATCACTCGATTAACGGTATGCTATGAAAACTATTTTTAATGTTTTTTAACTGATGCATTCACTGCTTTATTTTCTTGCATTTTAAAAATATTTTCTTGCGAAATTGCGTTTTGGAATTTCTGCTGGAGAGATGTTTCTCTGTAAACACAAATTTCTATCAACAATTCACAAACTCTGATGGTACATTGTGTTCTCGAATAACACATCGTTGAAAATGTTCGAGCTTTGTGACGGACCCGATGCAGAAAACGTTATCCTCCATTTTAAAGGGAGTTTTTACCACACATGAGGAACACTTCCGAACACTCACAACTACTCCTATTAAAGACATGCGTCGAAATCTGATTACGCACGATCATTTCGTTTTGCCATTTGATTTAATCCTGGCTCCCTGTGCTATTCCGCCAAGGTTAAAAAGCGAGGGACTAAATGAATAAATTACAGCTTCATTTAAACCAAAAATTCCAAACCGCAGGCATTTTAAAATTCCGACTAGATTGTGTTCCTTGGTACAAAATTATAATATGTAACTTAATGTATGACATTTAGGACATGTTTTTAAAAATAGAAAACGTCTTACAGAATGAGAATAGCCAACCTCCTTTATTTCGTAACATTACGTCAAAGTAACTAGAAATAGTTGTGAAACAATAAATACGAGCGTTTAATTTCAGTAGTACACTCGACTCCGCAAAACTAGCAACCTTAAGCCCCTTGTTAGAGCCTTTCATGTTTGAATTGTGAAGAGAAAAAAATATTTGTAGGGCTGCAGATGTCAAATTCCTCACTTTTCTAAGTTTACGCCATTTACAATAAGTGGGAAATTGCCACAAATCATGTAACGTACAGAATATGCATCCATCCGAAGTTCTAACAAATATATAATTAAAGTTAATAAAGAGAAAATTGAATTTAACTTTATGGAACACAATATTGATATCTTCTTCGAAAATATTCGGACAGTTCGGAGGTGCAGAAAATAAAGGAACCCGTTGGGGAGTTAAGGCTGTCAAACCTAAAGAGGGTTGTATGATATTGAAAAATAATGTATCCTTTTAAAAACAAATGTTAAAAGAAATTATAGAAAATGTGTCCATTCGCCTGTACTTTTTTCAAAATACCCGTTTATTTGTAATTGTCTGTTCGGCTTATAACCCGATGATCGGATCTAGTACAGAGGCCAATAATTTATTCATCGGTTTGCCCCTCTTGATTTTATCAGGGTCGCCCCGTAGATTATACGTCAGTGGGTCATCTTCACTGGAACCAGACGATATTCTTGACCGACGCATGAGAGAAATCATAATATCTATACTTTTGCAAATGCGGCGTTCCCTTTTTGCTTTTGCAAATGTTGAAAATTGAATGTGATTGTAACCCCGGGAGTGTAACATTGATCAGAGGTATTCGATCCCTTAAAATAATGCATTGGACCACAATTTCATTCGTACCATATTCACAGAATCGATGGTACAGCTATAGTAACACCAAGTAGTAACACTACGTTATTTCTAAAGGATAAATGTCAAATATTACATTTGTTTTTGCGAGACCTCATCGGGACCTCATCAACTTTGAATAGATGTTTCATTTTTCCCCTTGGAGCCCCTGGGTTTGAGACCAATCATAATACATTGTACATCTTCTAAATTACCGCTAGTGACAAATTGAATGATTGTATTTTAATCTTCACTTTACAAATATTACATACATTCCTCATGTTACAACAAAGATATATAAAACTGTTTTATATATCTGGTTACAAAGACAATAGAATATGATGCAGATTCATGTTACCAGGTTTATCAATCATATAGTCACTTCACATGTAATAACGTATTTCTCATTTATCCATCAACCAAAATATTGCTGGGTAGTACAGATGATTTTGATTGCTGTTAGCTAACCGTTGGACGCACAAATTAGCTCGATTACAATTTCTTTGATATCGAATTGAGCTGCATGCCAAAACTAATTAGGTGCATTCCCAAGTAGAAATTCACCAATCAGAAAACGTATATATTTGAAGTAAGACATGCATGATGGGATTGAAAAGGGCGCCGTTTGTTG